CAAATTTCTTGCTATCGCGAATCTCTTCCCAAAATATGGTTTGGTATTATACATATTTTAACTTGAATCTCCACGGCAAATTGGACTTGTAGTTCGCTTAGTGCTGTATGTTTCTATGAGTAAAATGTAATATTGTCGCTAAACTTGTCAAGGAAGCAAGTGTCCTTGTTAGTTTTCATGTCCGACTATATACACCTTGTTGTATTTTAATATTCTCCGTTAGTAGACATGAACAATATCAACTATTCATTTCACGCTCTTAAAAAGCCTTTTTCAGTTGTGTCATAAAATTATAGCCCCTTCCCAGCATGAGTCTGTCTTGCTTTCGAAATCCCTATTACACATAGTTAACAAGAATATGGCTTTCCCTTTCTATAAAATTATGTATGTCTTTTGCATAACCTCAAAGAGCCCTTTGCGCATGTTTCTCAAGAATATGTCCTCTTCCGAGTATGAGTTTGTTTATGACCATTCATATTACACGCTCTCGCAAAGCTCTTTCCAGAAGTTTCACAGGAATAAGACCTCTCCTCAGTACGAGTTTCTAAATTTCTTTTCAAATTACACGCTTATCGCAAAGCTCTCGTATGAGTTTGTGCATGGTCTTTCCGGTTAATCGATCTAACAAACCTCTTTCCACATAGTTCACAGAAATATGGCTTTTCCCTTCCAGGAATTTGTGTACGTCCTTTTAAACTACGTGTTTTCATTTGTGAAGCATACAAAACTCATCCAAAAGAAAGGCCGCATTATAGTAAAACATGAGACAAGAGCTGTGTGACTGAGTGTAATTTGTAAATAAATACAACTCATACTGAGTAGGGTCCGTATTATTGTGAAACTTCTGGGAAGAGCTTCGCGAGAGCGCGTTATTTGTGTATACATAAACAAACACCTCATAATCAGAAAAGGCCATATTCTAGAGAAACATCTACAAAGAGCTCTTTCATGGCATGCAGTTTGAACAGGCATTGACAAACATAAAGAAGGGGGAAGCCAAAGCGTTTATATTGGAAAGACGCAAACAAAATGACAAAACGTAAAAAAAAATGTTTTCGAGAGCAAGTTATTTCTAAAGTATACGCAAACAAATATTGTGCAGATGCCGTATTTTTGAAAAGCATTCGGGAAGAGATAGGCGATAATGTGTAATAAAAATTAAATACTCAAACTCATACTCGGGAGTGTGTTTTTCCACATATTTCAAAAGAATATAGCTTCACCCTTTGATGAAGTTGTGTATGTCTTTTCAAACAACGCACTCTCAAAAAGTTGTTTTCGCGTGTTTCTCAAGAATATAGCCTTTCCCGAGTATGAGTTTGTTTATGCCTATTCATATTACACGCTCTCGCAAGGTTCTTCCCAGATGTTTCACAGGAGTAGAGCTCCTGCCCAATATAAGTCTGTATATTTATTTTCTTATTACACGTTACTGCAAAGCTCTAGTCCAGCGTTTCCCAACCTTTTTTGGTCGCGGACTATTTTCTCACCGGCCAAACCTTCTGCGGACTCAAGGTGCGTTTACTGCAACCGTATACTCTATATGACAGGCAATAAAACCGAACACAACAGAATTTTAACAATGGTCTTTTCTTTCGCATAATATTCAATCCATGACAACAACGAGAATTTAAGATGTATTCCTATTTTAATTTAATTGTGTTCATGATAATTCGCGGTTGCGTCGAATTACGACAAGATGAAAGCATTACTTCTCTAAAATACAATGGCAATATGTGAACATAATAATGTGAGAATATATTGCCCGATTATACTTAGTTTTGATACATATTTTTTGCGATCTTGCGAATTTGTTATCGCCGTTAGAAAAATCCTCCTATCTGCTATAAATTTTCAGAAAGTAGAACTTGATTTAGTACTTATTAAAAAAATATTTAAAGTACATAAGTAAATCGAAAATACATATTCCTCGCCATGGTTTATTAATATTAATTTTATTGTGATCATTTTAATCTGCGTTTGTGTTGACGAAATAAAAGCAATACTACTCAGAAAATATGATGACAATCCGTGAGCACAAAAATGTGTGGTAAAGTGCCCAATTATATTTTGTTTTGATTCGTTTTTTAGTGAATTTGTCAAATCTGAGCTGTTCGTACAACACCTACGGCAGTACTGTACTTACCAATGTGGAGACAGTAAAGCAAAGAATCCTAAGGGAAAATGCCCTGGTATGGTAGCATCCAAAATTTTGCGATTTGCAATGTCTAAAAAGCGTTTTTAATCGCGGACCATCATAAAACAAAACATATGGTGTTCTTCGTTTTATTCTCAGTATTTTGTATTGACGCTTTTCAATTTAGAAAATTTGGATTGCCACCATTGACACCGACCAGAAAAAAAAATTATTCCTCGTTGTGAGAACTCGCCAGAAACACCACTTGGGTATTTATCGAAGCGTGTGCAGACTCGTGTTCTCGTCGGAAATCCGCAAGTGAGTTGTGAAATCCGGTTCCATTACATTTGAACTCACGACAATTGCACCTGCATACTATTTCACCTATGGTCGAGGGTTTCATTTTGTGATGATCAATAGACCATATTGTAAAAAAAATTGGAGAATTGGAAATAATATTATTCGTTATCAAGGTTTACATTTGACGCCAAAGTTCTTCAGTTTATCGCAATATCACAAAACAAACATTCAACTAACAGCGTACTGCTGGCATATACTGGTCATTATTACTGCAACAGCTTAGGTGTTTCAAAAGTATAACAGACCAGAAATTCAATACATTCGAGTATCTTTTGTTTGATTATTTCTGGCCCAAGCCTCGTTTTTACTAGGTTTGTGTTTTTTGTGTGTGCGCTGGTGGTCGGGCACATGATATCTCTCATGTTTTAAACTTTTTTAAGGTTTTGCTCGCCCTTCAGAATTCTCCATTTTAAATTTGTGTATATTATAGAGTATTCAAATAAACTATCTATCTATTTAAATCGCAACGTGGCTGAATTTCTGGCCCGTTGCGGACTCATTCAAACGCTCCGCGGACTCGGGTTGGGAAACACTGCCCTAGTCCCATGATTCACCGTAACACGGCTTCCCTTGGGTATGCTTTCCAAATGGCTCGCTCTCGAAAACTTTTTTCCATATAATTCACAAGAATATACCTTTCCCCTTCAATGAATTTGTCTATGTCTTTTCAAACAACGCACTCTCAGGAAGTTTATTTTGCGTGTTTCTCAAGAATATAGCCTTCCCCGAATATTAGTTTGTTTACGTCTATTCAAATTACACGCTTTCGCAAAGATTTTACCAAAAGTTTTACAAAATTAGGGCCCTTCCACAATATGAGTGTGTATTTCATTTCTAATTACCTGCTATCGTAAAGCCCTTGTCTCATGTTACACCATAATAAAGCCTCCTTTCGGTATAAGTTTGTGTATTCCTTTTTCGAATTACTATCGCGAATTTCTTTCCAAGAATATGTCTCTTCCAATTTTTAACTTGTGTATTACTATTTTAATTGCATGCTATAGCGAGGCATTTTTAAACGTTTTCACAATATTATGAACTGCCCTGTATGAGTTTATGTACGGCTTTTGAAATCCCACATGTTCACAAAAATACGGCCAATCTCCAGTATGCGTTTGCGTATGACTTTTTGCTTTTCAGTATGAGTTTGAGAATTTCTTTCCCCATGTTTCACAATAATACAGCCTCTCCTCAGTCTGAGTTTGTGTATGACTTTTTGCTTTTTAAATTTCTCGCTATCGCGAATCTCTTCCCAAAATATGGTTTAAAATTACAAAAATTTTAACACTAATCTACACGGCAAATTGACTTGTGGTTCGCTTAGTGCTGAATGTATCTAAGAGTGAAATTCAATATTGACATAAACTTGCCAAATGAAGCAAGTGTTTTCCTCAGTCTTCATGTCTAACTATATACACCTTGTTGCATTATATTTTTCTTCGCTAGTAGACATGAACAATCTACAACTATACAATTTATTTCCGAGAATTCAAAGGACTCTCAAAATATGGTCTCTCCCCAAAATACGTTTGTTCATGCAACTTTTAAATTACACTCTATAGCAAAGCTCTTACCACATGTTTCACAATATTATGGCCTCTTTCTAGTATGAGTTTGTGTATGCCCTTTTAAATCACATGCTAATCCGTAGCTCTTCCCAAAATTTCACAGAAATACGGCTTCTCTCCACTATGAGACCCCCTGAAATGAATAGCACTCGAAAAATCGTTTTAACATGAGTTCCAAAATATCACCTATCTCTAGTATGATTTTGTTTGTGTATGGCTTTCCAAATTACTCGCTCTCAAAAAGCTCTTCCCACATGTTTCACTAGAATATGGCTTCTCCCCAGTATGTGTGTACCTTTTCATATTACACGTCTTCGAGCCTCGATCAGCTCTTTACACATAGTACACAATAATTTAACCTTCTCAAGTATAAGTTTTTGTAAGATTTTTCAAATGGATGACTACCTCTTTCCGCATAATTTTCCCCTCCCTAGTATGAGTTTGTGTATTTCTTTTCTAATTACCTGCCTAACGCAACGGTTTTGCCTTATGTTTCACTATAATAAGGCCTCCCTTCGGAATGAGAGCCCATTAGCCCCTTCCCTAGCCTCATCGACGGCATCAAACTTAGATCCTATTCTTGTATATGGCCATTCTAAAATAGTGATTCCTCATTTACAGGTTGGAGCATTGAAATTGAAAATCATAGCGGTGAAATGGCATGAGAGCAAAGCAGGAGCGCCACGCTGCCTGACTGCTCATAAGTGAGCAATTGAATGTTTAGGCAATAAAAACGCAGCTAGTGGCATACTATAGGGAAAATGCCAACGATTTCAAATACCTTGAACAAAACATTTTAGACTTAAGGATTTGCAAACTTTTATTAAACCTCATCAACCTGTTAGCATTACGCTCTATTATGATAGAAATATTTTTACCACATAAAAGCTTGATGCATATACTGCAAAAAATTTATTCGCTCATTTAAAAATTATGAATACAATTAAAGATATTTGATTAAACATGATAAGAATAAATGCTCCATATACAGTTGAATCGAAAGAAAAACTTGTCAAACACCTCAGTAAATTGGTTTTGAAAACTTCAATTGAAAATCCTATTTTGTTAATGATATTTTCAGGAATTTATATTAAGAAAAATGTGCTTAAAGCAAGATCTCGCGTACTCACTCAGAATCATAGGAAAACTGAGCGAAGTTATGGAAACCACTGGAGTGCCAAGAGCTACTGAAATGTTTAGAGATGAATCGCACATACAATAAAGGGTGCTCCCGTAGTATGTGTAGTGTGTACCACTACCAGGTTAGGGTTAACAGGTTGTGCGCCATCTTGGTACATATACTACGGGAGCGCCCAATAAAGACCGATTGACGGAAGACTTGAAGGGTTTGACATGAATAAGTAGATATAGATAGTTATCTTGAAGGTATTTATTGATTAGGAAGAATTACGTGGGAAATATATTAAATCGAAAGAGAGTATATAAGTTGATTTGAAAGATGGGAATAATGGCGAGCAAATAGTTGATTGAACGATTCGTGATGGCGTAACCTCACACTACAGATCCATTTGATTTATTTAGATTCGCCATATTAGTGATATTGGACGTTTCCAGCACCAACTATCACGGTACGTCCTTCCACTGATTGTAAGTTGGCTGAAAGCAATTAAGTACTAACATCAATAATGATTTAACTATTAAATACCAAGTGAATAAAAGATTATTTCAATATTATCAATAATGGTTATATAAAAAATTGTGAAGAAAGTACAGAAAATACTCCAGTAAGTGCTGGAGAAATGGAAAATCTCGTTAAAAAAATTGATAGCGTGGTATCCGGTGGAATGTTATTTTATTATTTCACAGACACCAATACGATGAAAATTTGTTTGGATTTTGCTCTCCGGAGTCGGCGCTGGATGATAACCGCCAATCTTTCAAAATTAGAAGCTCTATTTTCCAAAATAGGGTTTGTTATTACACATATTTCAACTTGAATCTCCACGGCAAATTGGACTTGTATTGCTGTATGTTTCTATCAGTAAAATGTAATATTGTCGCTAACTTGTCAATGAGGCAAGTGTCCTTTTCAGTCTTCATGTCCAACTGTATACACCTCGTTGTATTTTATTGTTCTCCGTTAGTAGACATGAACAATATCAACTATTCATTTCACGCTCTTAAAAAGCCTTTTCCTATTGTTTCATGAAGTTTCCCAGCATGAGTCTGTCTTGCTTTCGAAATCTCTATTCCACATAGTTAGCAAGAATATGGCTTTCCCTCTCTATAAAATTATGTAAATCGTTTGCATAATCTCAAAGAGCCCTTTGCGCATGTTTCGGAAGAATATGTCCTCTTCCGAGTATGAGTTTGTTTCTTTTCATATTACACGCTCTCGCAAAGCTCTTTCCAGAAGTTTCACAGGCCTCTCTTTTGTATGAGTTTGTGCATGGTTTTCCGGTTAATCGATCTAACAAACCTCTTTTCACATAGTTCACAGGAATATGGCTTTTCCCTTTCATGAATTTGTGTACGTCCTTTTAAACTACGTGTTCTCGTTTGTGAAGCATACAAAAACTCATCCAAAAGAAAGGCCGCATTATAGTAAAACATGAGACAAGAGCTGTGTGACTGAGTGTAATTTGTAAATAAATACAACAACTCATACTGAGTAGGGTCCGTATTATTGTGAAACTTCTGGGAAGAGCTTCGCGAGAGCGCATAATTTGTGGAGACATGAACAAATTCATAGTCAGGAAAGGCCATATTCTAGAGAAACATGTACAAAGAGCTCTTTCAGGGCATGCAGTTTGAACAGGCATTGACAAATGTAAAGAAGGGAGAAGCCAAGTTCGTGTAAAACATTTGGGAGGATCTTTTTAGCACCGTTTATAATGGAAAGGCGCAAACAAATTAATAAAAATGGCAAAACGTAGAAAAATGTTTTCGAGAGCAAGTCATTTTTTAAAGTATACGCAAACAAATATTGTGCAGAGGCCGTATTTTTGAAAAACATTTGTGAAGAGATTGACGATAATGTGTAATTAAAAATAAAATACTCAAACTCATACTGGGGAGCAATGTTCCCTCTAATTTTTTGTAGTATGTGTGCGCAGAAATTTTGGTGTGTGCGCACTTTTTTGGAAATGACTAATATTTGTGCAAAAACCAATGATGAAATTTTGGCGTTCTAACTGGGTAATAAGTGGGCCAACAACAAACTTTCTCAACCTGCCAACCGAGCACATTGTTACATTACATCGAAATACGTCTGTGCGCAGTAAATCTATGCGTGTGCGCAGCCTCTGAAAGCTGTGTGCGCGCACACCTTAGAGGGAACACTGCTGGGGAGTGTCTTTTTCCACATATTTCAGAAGAATATAGCTTTACCCTTTGATGAAGTTGGGTATGTCTTTTCAAACAAAGCACTCTCAAAAAGTTTTCTCGCGTGTTTCTCAAGAATATAGCCTTTCCCGAGTATGAGTTTGTTTATGTCTATTCATATTACACGCTCTCGCAAAGTTCTTCCCTTAAGTTTCACAGGAGTAGGGCTCGTGCCCAGTATAAGTTTGTATATTTATTTTCATGTTACACGCTATCGCAAAGCTCTAGTCTCATGATTCGCCGTAACACGGCTTCCATTGGGTATGCTTTTCAAATGACTCGCTCTCGAAAACTTTTTTTCATATAATTCACAAGAATATAGCTTTCCCCGTCAATAAATTTGTCTATGTCTTTGTCAAACAACGCACTCTCAGAAATTTTTTTGCGTGTTTCTCAAGAATATAGCCTTCCCCGAATATGAGTTTGTTTACGTCTATTCAAATTACACGCTTTCGCAAAGATTTTACCAAAAGTTTTACAAAACTAGGGCCCTTCCACAGTATGAGTTTGTGTATTTCTTTTCCAATTACCTGCTATCGCAAAGCCCTTGTCTCATGTTACACTATAATAAAGCCTCCTTTCGGTATAAGTTTGTGTATGCCTTTTTCGAATTACTATCGCGAATTTCTTTCCAAGAATATGTCTCTTCCCAATTTTTAACTTGTGTATTACTATTTTAATTGCATGCTATAGCGAGGCATTTTTAAACGTTTTTACAGTATTATGACCTGCCCTGTATGAGTTTATGTACGGCTTTTGAAATCCCACATGTTCACAAAAATACGGCCAATCTCCAGTATGCGTTTGCGTATGTCTTTTTGCTTTTCAGTATGAGTTTGAGAATGCCCTTTCAACTTATACGCTATCGCGAATTTCGTTCTCCATGTTTCACAATAATACAGCCTCTCCTCAGTTTGAGTTTGTGTATGACTTTTTGCTTTTCAAATTTCTTGCAATCGCGAATCTCTTCCCAATATATGGTTCAATGTTACAAAAATTTTAACGTGAATCTCCACGGCAAATTGACTTGTGGTTCGCTTAGTGCTGAATGTATCTAAGAGTAAAATTCAATATTGACATAAACTTGCCAAATGAAGCAAGTGTTTTCCCCAGTTTTCATGTCTAACTATATACACCTTGTTGCATTATGTTAGTAGACATGAACAATCTACAACTATACAATTTCTTTCCGAGAATACGTTTATTCATGCAACTTTTAAATTACACGCTATAGCAAAGCTCTTACCACATGTTTCACAATATTATGGCCTCTTTCTAGTATGAGTTTGTGTATGCCCTTTGAAATTACATGCTAATCCGTAGGTCTTTCCAAAATTTCACAAGATTACGGCTTCTCTCCACTATGAGTCCCCCTGAAATGAATCGCACCCGAAAAATCGCTACCTATCCCTAGTATGATTTTGTTTGTGTATGGCTTTCCAAATTACTCGCTCTCAAAAAGCTCTTCCCACATGTTTCACCAGAATATGGCTTCTCCCCAGTATGTGTGTGCTTTTTCATATTACACGTCTTCGAGCCTCGATCAGCTCCTTACACATAGTACACAATAATTTAGCTTTCCTTTCTACTCATTTGTGTGAGCCTTATCAATTTTTACGCAATCTTAACATTACAGCCCTTCTCCAGTATAAGTTTTTGTATAATTTTTCAAATGAATGACTACCTCTTTCCGCATAATTTTCCCCTTCTGCAAATTTTTTAACATATTTCACAAGAATATGGCCCATTCTCAGTATGAGTTTTTGTATTTATTTTTAAACACGCTATTCTTGTGTGTCACAAAAATATGGCCTCTCCCAACTATGAGTTTGTTTATGGCTATTCAAATTATATGATTTCACCAAGCTCTTCCCAAACTTTTCACAAGAATACGGTACCTCCCCAGTATGAGTTTGCATTTTTTTCAAATTACCTGCTATCGCAACGTCTTTTTCTCATGTTTCAGGATAATGGCCTTTCTTCGGTATAAGTTTGTGAATGCATTATAAACTTATACGCTTTCGTGAATTTCTTTCCACATGTATTACAAGAATATGGTCTTTCCGCAGTATGAGTTTATATGTGACTATTTTAATTGAATGCTATAGTGAAGTATTCCCACGTGTTTCACAATATCATGGCCTCCTCTTTATGAATTTATGTATGACTTTTCAATCCCACAAGTTTCACAAGAATATAGCCTCTCTCCAACATGTATTTGTGTATATACACACTATCTCAATGCTCTTGTCTCATGTTTCACCATAATACTGATTCTCTTCGGTGTGAGTTTGTGTATGATTTTTGAATGACCTTCTCATCTATTTGAATTTCACTCGCTTGCGAAGCTCTTCTCAAAATATCACTATAATTACATTCAGTAGGAGTTTGTGAATTCCTATTCAACTTAGACGCTATCGTGAATTTCTTTCCACTTATTTCACAAGGATATGGTCTTTCCGCGGTATGAGTTGGTGTGTGACTATTCTAATCGCATGCTATAACGAGACATTCCCACATGTTTCACAATAATATGGGCTCTTTTTAATATTGGATAGAGTCCATCCGATACACGGACGACAACGAAAAATATTTCCAGTCAGCAATTCCACAATAAGTTTTAGGCCTAATTCTAAGTTTATTTTTTACAGCCATTGAAAAAGCAATTATAAACAATTTCACGGGAAATAGTAATTCGTGGAAAACCAATTCTGCTTATCGAGGACTCTCATGAAATCGCCCCTTTACTGGGGCAATCTACGTGCCTATTCAGTAGGAGTATGTGAATTCCTATTCACCTTAAACGCTATCGAAAATTTCTTTCTACGTGGTTTACAAGAATATGGTCTTCCCCCAGTATGATTATTTCAATTGCATGGTGTGTCGAATTCTTGTGAAAATTCATGTTGTGGCAAATCCTTGTGAAAATTTGTGTCGATTCCCGGCCTCGTGCACTAGATAGATAGATAGAAGTTTATTCATCATCCAGTCATTAGCCAATAAATCAAACACAAACAACAACATTCGATAAGTAAAAGAAGAATAAATCGACTAACAACGGAATTGATAGGAGGTTGGAAGGACCACACACACGGTCACTAAATCGAAACAACTCTCCTGGCATAAAAAAGGTTGACTGATTACATTTTATATTATACCAATTATAAAACATTTTAACTTGTTGTAACTAACAATTGAGCAACAAGAGTAATGTGACACATATTGAGACGAATTTAAAATAGAAGCTGCAAGAAAAAGCGTTTAGTTTTATA